TTCTTTAGATTTGTAGCTTGTCTTTCATCCAGTTAACAGGGTCTTTCTCAGAGCAAAGGTTTTCAATTCCGACGAGGTCTAATTTATCAATTTTTTTCTTTTATGAATTATGCTTTTGGTACAAAGTCTAATCCTAGATCCTGAAAATTTTCTTCTATTTTTTTACTCAAGGTTTTATAGATTTACATCTGTGATCCTTTCTGTATAAAGTGTGAGGTTTAGGCTGATATTCATGTTTTTACTTATGCATGTCCAATTGCTCCAGCACCATTTGTTCAAAAACCTATCTTTCCTTCATTGAATTGCTTTCACATTTTGTAAAAAATCACTTGGACGTATTTGTGTGGTCTATTTCTGGATTTTCTATTCAGTTCCATGGATATATGTGTCTATTCCTCTGTTAATACCACATAGTCTTGATTATTGGTTGTTTTTTAAAAAGTTTCTTCACTAATTCTCAGTGAGGTTAGAGAATCATTGCTGGAGCTAGAAGAAAGTTTCCAAGAGACTGACTAGTCCAATTATCCCTTATCCAGACAGGCACTGTGAAAATGTGCTGTACTGAGAGTCAAAAGACCTGGATCTTATAGTCTTAGCTCATCAACACGTGGCTGGGTAGCCTGGCTAAGTCATTTATCCCGAGTCTCAGTTTTCTCATCGATGGAACTGGGATACTAATACAGCACTTGTTCAATCCACTCTCCCAGTACACTTGTGAGTGTAAAAGGAAATATAGAGTCTAAAATTTAGACTAAAGCACAATTCAAATATAAAAGGTTATTATTTCAGGGATAAGCAAAATGAGATCCAAAGAGATTAAGGTCCTCCTTACCCAAAGTCACCTTCTATTTGATTTGGTGGTGCTTGCCAGAAAGTATCACATATTATTCAACACATACTTACAGAGCCCATACTCTGCTAGGCATTGTGAAAAGTCCCTGAGGTACAAACAGAAAAAGACATTGTGTATTCAGTGGGGACATATTTCATTTTTCAAAAGTTAAGTAAATCCAAATTAAATTTGTGTTGAGGACTCTTTTAAAATTCCAGGACACTCCTAGGTGGATGGATTCAAGGAACAATAAGTCATTGTTCTGCCATCTCTGTAAGTCACCAGCTACCCTCTCAGACTTCCACGGGCTGCACACTGACTTCGGCAGAGCCAAAAGGAAAGAGAAGGGGTTTTCCTGGACAGAGCTAAAAATACTCCACGGCTCACATGCTTTTAACCCCTTCCCAGCTATCCCCACCCACATTGCAGGATTGTTTTGCCATCTACATATTAAAACAAAAACATCCCGCGAAGCCAATTCAGAGTCCTGGATAGTGAATAAAGAAATGCATTTTGCCTACCTCAAGTGGGACAGAACCTGCTGAAAGAGAGCACTCCCAAGGGCCAGCCTGCCTCTTCCGTGTGATCCCGGGTCTCATTTTAAGAACTGATTTCAGTCCAGGGCAGTCTGTAATGTAGCTGCATGTGAATTAGCTTTAATAGTCAGAGAAAGACTGGATGTGCAACATTCCTCTAGGTAGCTAGCACTGAAGAAAATCTTATTTTGGATAACAAAGTCTATTATTAATTAATCATTTTAAACATCATTGCATGCTATTCAGTGTATTTAGAATGTAAAGCATGAGAGTAAAGCAAAACACACAATAGCAAAACTTGCTGTAGCTCAGCAAAATTAAAATCCAGTTTCTGGCCTCACAGTTCAGAGAGATGCTCTGAAGTAATGCCGTGCACCATCCTAGCCATTGGTGAGGCTCTGCTGCCCCCAGGTGGCTGAGATCCTTCTCTGACAAAGCCACTGGTGCTGTCATGCTCGGTGTTATGGTGATTTTCAGAAGGGCAGCGCAGATGCATGGATGATGGATGGACGGATAGAGAGATGGGTAGATTCATTCATTTACCTAATAATTTAATATGTTGAATTTCAACTATTTTCCAGTCACTAGGCCACGTGCTGTTAGAAAGTGACATTTGAGATCTGAGATATAAAAAATGCATTGGTGTTAAGTAGGCAAGTGCTACAGTAAAAGCTGCCCTGTGCATTGATCCCAGGAGAGTAACTGGGGCAGCGGAAAGGATTGGGGAAGTGATCTTTGATGGTGGGGGAAGGCCTTCCCAAATATGCCTCTTCCAGAGAGACAAACATACTGTTGGTTAACCATAGCCTATTCACTGAAATCCACTGGGTTAATAAGAAGAAAGAATGAAAAGCAGCAAATGTGGGTTTAGATAGACACTAGAAGGAGTATAGGGAAAGTTCAACGTGGGGACAGAGAGAGGCAGAGTGGGCAGAGCCCTTTGGTTCACTGAAAAACAAAGTGAAACAGATTATACCATATTTGACACGGTAGGTCCTCAAACACGATGCTACCCAGTTTCAGTAAGTGACTATTCTATTGCTAGATATGGAAACTGGTGCATTCCCTTTGACACAGTGATTTTTCAATCAGGAATACACTGTTCAGAATTACTTGCAAGATATATAGAGAAAAGAGCAGATGAGGCTGCATGTTATTTGTTTCACTTTAAATAATGGCATCAAGACACTTAGAGATGAGTTTCTTCTGGAAACTGAAAATTGTTCTGGAAGTTTTCTCTGTAGCTGGATTACTATTATTATCTCCTTTCAAGATTCCCTAAAAGCCTATGTAAAAGTTCCCTAACTTTTAATTTTAATTGAACTCAAACATGCATTTATTGAGCACCTGGTGAATGCAAGATTTGGACTGGACTGGGGAGGGCGCAATGCAGGAATAACTCAGACATGGCTAACGAAGATTGACTTGTAAAAACATAAAATACAGTAAGTCAATGAAATAACAGCTATAATGTGGCATTATGGAAATAGGGGATAGAGAAGATATGATAATTCTAATTGGAGAGATGATGGAGGGATTCCCAGAAGATGTGGCATTTGAGCCTTGAAACACAAGAGGATTTTAATAGCTCTTGGGGGGAGGTGATCTTTTCCTGTAGGTTGGAAGAGCATGATTTGTTTTTTTGTTTGTTTGTTTTTTGAGACAGAGTCGTGCTCTGTTGCTGGGGCTAGAGTGCCTTGGCGTCAGCCTAGCTCACAGCAACCTCAAACTCCTGAGCTTAAGCCATCCTTCTGCCTCAGCCTCCAAGTAGCTGGGACTACAGGCATGCACCACTATGCCCGGCTAATTTTTTCTATGTATTTTTAGTTGTCCAATTAATTTCTTTCTATTTTTAGTAGAGATAGGGTCTCACTCTTGCTGGTCTTGAACTCCTGACCTTGAGCGATCCTCCCGCCTCAGCATCCCAGAGTGCTAGGATTACAGGTGTGAGCTACCGCGCCTGGCCATGACTTGTTTTTTATTAAGTCTTCACTATCACTATCAAGGTGCTGTGCGAAATAGAGAAGCAAAAGAACCACTATAAATGGGAGATCTTAAAAAAATCACCAAGAAAAGACATACAGTAAATGATACTGTGTGATTAATTGTCAGAACAGTCTACAGAATCCAGAGGTGAGGCAGAAATACAGGCTAAACACTTTTTGTGGGTAGTGAATCTGCCATTTTAAACATATTTCAGTGAAGTCAGTAGGAGAAAGCATGAGGCATAACAGACATATTTCTACTATTGGCCCTCTTTTCTCCAAGCATCTAGCTTTTTAAAGAAGTTATTGTTTTAATTTTTATTAATAATTACATGAGCAATGCATAACCTACACTATAATCTTGTTCAGAAAAAAAAATCAAGGGATAAGAAAAATACTTCGAGTAAAAAGCAAGATTCTCCCTTCAAAATCCCCTGTTCTCCCTTAATCTCATATCTCTTCCTAGAAGCAAGCACTGTTACCAGCTTGCTGTGTTTCCCTTCGGAATGATTTCTGGTGAATCCATTCAAACATACAATTGTCATGTGATTTTGCATAAATGGATATTTTTCTGCACTCTGCATTTTTTTCCCACATATTTTGGAACTTTTTCTATGTTAGTACATAGACCATAGAGTACATGGAGTTAAAACATTTTTTTTTTTTTTGAGACGGAGTCTCATTCTGTCACCTGGGCTAGAGTGCCATGGCATCAGCCTAGCTCACAGCAACCTCAAACTCCTGGGCTCAAGCGATCCTTCTGCCTAAGCCTCCCAAGTAGCTGGGACTACAGGCACGCACCACCATGGTCGGCTAATTTTTTCTGTATATTTTCAGTTGTCCAGCTAATTTCTTTCTACTTTGTTAGTAGAGATGGGGTCTCTCTCTTGCTCAGGCTGGTCTCAAACTCCTGACCTTGAGCGATTCTCCCGCCTCAGCCTCCCAGAGTGCTAGGATTACAGGCGCGAACCACCGCGCCCAGACAGAACCTAATATTTTGAAAAACAAAACAAAAATACTCAAGCCCCTTAAGGTGTTATTAAGGCCCCTGCCTACCTCTCCTCCCTCGCCTCCAACAACTGCCCGCCCCGCCCCCCACAACTAGCCTGAACTATTTTCAGTTCTGGGGGCGCTCCAAGCATCCGCACGCCCTGTTTTGGGGGGCGATCTTCCTCTGCGCTCTAGAGCCTAGTGCTTCCTCCACTGTAGCCATTCCACGCTATTTTAATTGCCAAGTTATTTGCGTCTCCCGTCTCTCGTCTCTGTCTGTCCCTTCCGCGCAGGGACCGTGTTTTAGCCGTGGCTACATCCCCAGCGTGGGGCTGCCCGATCCCTCGCCCCGCAGCCCAGACAGCACCTCCGGCAACTGAGCTTCGAGAGGTGCCCAGCCCGCGCCGCGCGCAGCAGAGGGCGAGTGAGCATGCGCACCAGTCTGCACGCGGCCCACAGGCGGGGGCTGGCCCTGGGCGCCCACGCTCCCCTCCCCCACCCTGCTGCGCTTGCGCGCTGCGGACAGCCGTTGTGGGGCGTCCTGGGCCCCGAGGTGGGACGGTTGGAGCCGGTACCTCCCCTTTTGGCCCTGAGGTAACCCGGCCTGGTGGCCCCAGGACGTTCCTGTCGCATGGCGGAGTGCTGAGGACAACGCCCATGAAGCCCTTAGTCCTCTTAGTTGCGCTATTGCTATGGCCTTCGTCCGTGCCGGCTTATCCGAGTGAGTGACCGGCCTGAGGGGCAGCGACCCCGGGCACACCCCTCCGGAAACCTCCCGGGTTCCGGCTCTTTTCCCGGGTCCGGCTGTGCTCCCAAACCCGCGGTCTAGGGTTCTGGCCTCTCCTCCCCTCGACCCCGCTGCCAGGGGCGCAGCGACAGGAGCGGCGGGGCCAGACGGGACGGGGTGCGCGCTGCGCAGAGGGGCTCTCGGGTGTCGCCGCCTCGCCTACGCCGGGGACTTCCCCGGGTCATCCTGGTCCTTTTCCCAGCGGTCCGTTGAGTATGTGATAGAGCAGGGGTCTACAAACTGCGGCCAGCCAGGCATGCCTGTTTTTATATGGCGGGCCGGCTCAGAATGGTTTTTATATTTTTTAATGTGAATATGAAACGCACTCCTTCGTGACATGTGAAAAGGGGTGGAATTCAAATTTCATTGGTTATAAATAAAGTTTTATTGGAACACAGCCACGCCCATTCCTTCATGTATTGCCCATGGCTGCTTTACCGCCTTGTAACTGCGGAGTTAAGTGGTTGCCGCATGTAGTCGGACAGCAAAGCCTAAAGTATTTACTGTCTGGCCCTTTACAGAAAAAGGTTGACGCCTGTTGTAAAAGTTGGAGAGCATGAGGATTGTGGGGAGCGACCTGACCTAGGACACCCACTGACCTGAGGATGCACTCCCCCACCCCCAGCATCCTTTGGTGCTTTGGTGCACGGGGTTCACAGCCTCAGTCAAGCAGACTTATAACTTAGGACTTCACAAGGAGCTCTTTTGTCCTTCCTGGAAAGCTGGAAACCAGTAAGGTCAAATTCAGGCTGCTCAGACTTTACTGTATTAACAATGTCACGTGAGCGCCTGGAGGCATTTAAGTATTTAACTCGGTTATATGAGGCTTGCCCATCTAGTCTTAACTGTAGTTCATTATAGCACTTAATAATGCTGTAGTTTTGTTTAATTAAATCAATAAATAAAATTTAACAGGTATGGAAAAAGTACAGTAGTGCATGCTAATTATGCAAAGCTATATTTTAGAGTTGTTAAAAGGTCTTAGCTAAAAATGACATTTAGGAAATGAAAATACAACACAACCTAAATTATCATGAATAGTAGGGGAAGTTCTGGAAGAAGTAGCCTAGATAACTAAAGTTAGTTCTTCAAATACTAGCTCTTATGATTTTTAGCTGTTTTCAATAAAAATCTTTGTAAAATTTTCCTTCCTGACCATAAAGGACCAGAACATGATGAAGATGGTATTTTTTTCTTGATGTCTGACGGTCATTATTTATTACTAACACCAGTTACTGCATTTTCGTAGTTGTGGATCAGTAGGTCATAACTGACTAACATATATGGAGACTTTAATTGAAGTGACATTAATACTTTTACACAGTACACTCTGGGACTGCACAGTAGCAGTCCCTGGATCCTCGCTTAACTCAGTACAATGTCCTGTCTGACTTCATAATTTCATGGCTTTTTCTTTGCACCTTCCTCCTTGAGCTTTTCTTAAGGCTTATAGGAAATGGAAACATAATTCTGAGAAAAAGGAATGATTTTGTGTTGAATAAATAGATGATATAAGACATAAGGAAACTACGTACAGGTTGTAGATCATAGAAGATACCTTGGAAAATGTAATTTACCTCTTTTCCACAGAAGTAGATTAAGGGATATGTAGGGCAGTGTTACATGGCTACTTTCTCTGTATCTGTCTCATTCTTTTTCTCTGAGTAATTTTAATTTTGTTTTTTAAATAAGTATATGGAAAGAAACCAGGCTTATCATTATATTTGATTTAAATCAGTTATATATTGTTTTATATGGTCACTATTGGAACAATTGTTGGTGAGTCGAATAAAAAAATGCTCCCTTATGTCACATATAAGGAACATAGGTTTTTATTATGAAAAGTACAGCTTTGACAAGTTTTTTTCTAGACTAAGATAGTTTTGAGCTTATCTTAATACAAATATCACAGGCATGTTAAGTAAATATATTTGTTGAAAGCCTTAGTACTTCTTGTAACTGCTTGTACCTTTCCAACAGGCCCAAGCCAAACTTAGCTAGTACTGGTTTAATCTAAATTCAGCTTGATATGAATGAAACTTGGGTATCTAGAAGTCAGTACTCCTCTACATACACACATCCTGATGGTGCTGGATAAACACTTTTTTACTATATACTTAAACTTTTATGTATTCAATTAATTTCCTGTAATTTTTCTGTGGTTTTAGTTTTAAATACTTTCCAATTTTTTTAATTTACTTTTTTACTTTCCAATTTTTAAAAGCTTTCCTCTTTAATGTATTTTCACTGTACGACTTTCTTTACTTCTTAATGAAAATTCTTTTTGCTTTTAAACAATTCACAGTAACTTCTAAAGTAAAACATAATTATGCATTTAAATAATATTAACTACTTAATTAAAAGTATATAATTTGCCTTTTATAACGTTAAGTCACAAAATATTCATGGGCCTGAAGCTGCAAACATAAGACTGTGAAATATTAGTATTGGGTTTTTTTGGGTTTTTTTTGCTATCTCCTGAATAAATTATTTTTTCCAGGTTATCTCTTTGAATAGGTTAGCAAAAATAGAATTAATGGTGTAGGTTTAAGTCTAGAATGACAAAACCTTTTAACTTACTTCTCTAGATTGGTATTAAAAGAAGGCTCATACAACAATCAGTACGATGCGCACCCCCGGGGGAATGGACACACTTGAAGCTTGGACTTGAGGGGGAGGGAGGGTAAGGGCATCATACGTAACCTAATCATCTGTACCCCCATAACATGCTGAAATAAAAAAATAAATAAAAAAAAAAAAAGAAGGCTCAATAATGAGTCTTTGGCCTCTATCATTGTCCTTAGTAAGACCTTGGTCCCAATGAACCACACAAGGGGAGGGAAGTACTAAGGTAGCAACTAGCAACAATTGTTCAAATCTATCACCAAATGAATTCAAAGGAAAAACATTTCTCTTATTTCAAATACATTCTAAAGGTAAAATTCAGTTGGTTCTGGTGCTGCAAGTTCACTTTATGCTGTTTTGTGCCTGAGACTGTAGCATTTAGGGTCTCTCAAACCTGTGAATGGAATGTCAAGACACACTTCATTAATGTTTGGGATAATGAGGAGCACGTCATCTAATACGTGAATGTTTAGAGAATAGCCAATGGGAGAGTAGCAGGAAGTTTCATTAGCCTATTCATTAATGTTTTATGGAAAAAAAATGGTTCTTTTTTGTTGTTCTTTTGATCATATTAGCCCTTATATGTATATAATCTCCTGATAATACATGTAAAATTAAACATAAGCAATAATTTTTTTACATATGAATAAATAAATACAAATACAATGCTAGTTATTTGAAGAGAAAATATTTTCTTTTTTTAGTATCATATATCTGTGGCTTTTTTTTTTTTTTTTGAGACAGAGTCTCACTGTGTTGCCCAGGCTAGAGTGCCGTAGTGTCATCCTAGCTCACAGCAACCTCAAACTTCTGGGCTCAAGCAATACTTCTGCCTCAGCCTCCCGAGTAACTGGGACTACAGGCATGCGCCACCATGCCTGGCGAATTTTTTCTATGTATTTTTAGTTGTCCGTTTAATTTCTTTCTATTTTTGGTAGAGATGGGGTCTTGCTCTTGCTCAGGCTGGTTTCGAACTCCTGAGCTCAAACAATCCGCCCGCCTCGGCCTCCCAGAGTGCTAGGATTACAGGCATGAGCCACTGCGCCTGGCCTGTCTGTGGCTTTTTGTAAACACAAAATTTATTGAACTTAACTATAATTTTTTCCGAGGCTCAAATACTCATACTTGACCATTTGGAGCTACCGTGAACTGCCTTCTGTGTTCTTTTGATATGATTCCGTATGTTTTTAAAGACTTCTTGTTTTCTGACATTAACTGGTTGTTCCAGGCCCACTTTGTTATCTTCCCTGCTCTGAATGGAATCAGCTATCCTTCTAAGGAGACATAGTATTAATAGAACATTGCCTTAAAGACCAAAGTGCTTGGGATACATACCAGACTTATGTGGTGGGGTGATACTATAATTTTGGTATCTGTTTAGAACTAGAAGAGATATATTTAAAAGTCATCAGTTTATTTTGGTTCCAGTTAAATTTTAACATTACTCATCTGATAACTTCTTAATTTTTAAGTGTTCATCCAAACTAAAATTGTATTCCTTTTAAAAAATATAATTTAATGAGGCTGTTTTGGTTATCCATTATAGCATAAAAGACTGTCCCCAGGTTTATTATTTCTCATGATTCTATAGGTTGACTAGACTCAGCTGGGCAGTTATGCTTCATATCAGCATGGCTGAGGTCACTCATGCAACTGCATTCAGCTGGAAGTTCATCTGAGAGGGTATCATCCAAGATGGCCTCTCATCCTCCAGGATCTCTCTCTATGTGACTTCTTATCTTTCAGTAATCTAGCCCAAGTTTCTATACCATGGCAGTTTGCTTCCAAGAAGGAGATTTACAAGCCCCAGCATGCAAGCTCTTATCAAGCCTATGCTGTGTCAGACTTGCCAATGTCCTACAGGCCAAGACAAGTCACGTGGGGCAAGCCCATGTTCAATGTGGGAGGACACTACGGAAGAACATGAATACCATGAAATGCAAGGCCATGAAATGACATTTCTTTAACTGTAATACTTGATTAATATGAACATAATTATTTGTTTACTTGTCACTAAAAATTAAAATTTGAATTAATAATAATAAGCTATAGGAAAACTGATGGATGAATAACAAGACATAATGTTTTCTTTGTGACCATTCTTTAAGTATACTTCACTAATGAAGCACAGTTACTACAACTTTGATTCGTGTTGGAAGTACATTACTTGAGCTCAGTTATTTAAGTTCATTTTAATTTGAAAGTGTTAGCATTTTAACTGGCAGTTCTTATGTGGTGACAGCTTTCAGGTATTAATTCTTGTAGCACTTAAGTGCTGTAGAATAAGGGAAGTCTATTCTTTGTGATTC